AAAATCATCACCCGACAAATCTTCAAAAGTCATACATATCGGCTCATCAGCTGAATCTTCTCCGAAAAATAATTTTCTTATCTTGACGGATTCAAAATGATGAAATCTTCTAAAAGATGTGCTGCTGATTCTTGCTTGAGTAAAAAATATATCTTTGAACATTTATTCTTCTGAAATGATTTGAGATACGTAGCAAGAGATTTAAATGAGAAAGAAGATGTGTAGAAGAATTCACGTGCATCTTCCTTATCATGTCCACAAGCTTCCAAACTTGTAGTCAACTTAGCATTACATGTGTCCGCATTGCAGCATGCACTTTAACAAGTGTCATCTTTTCAAAAATATGCTTCTAGTTAGATTTAAACATGAGCCCAACGAAATATATCTCCCAAGCTTTTACCATTGCGCCATATAAACTCATTGGTTAATATTTCTGGATTTAATCTTTATTCCCAGAATGGCTTTAGTAGCATTTTGATTTGATTAATAAATCACTTCGAGTATGCTTCTTGGTCTTCCCCTATCAGCCCCTTCATCGTCCCCTTCACACCTTAGCTTTATCTCCTTTCCAAAACGGTAGAAATTGAGTCTCAAACCCGTAACCTCTGACTTTAGCAACCTTGTTCCTTATCCATTTCATCGCTTGATCCTTTGGTGTTTTCCAAGGTAAATAATTCTCAAATAGTAACATTCTGGATAAGTATATTTTTCTAAGAAATTCGTAAGCTTTATGGCTTGACTTGGGACTTAGACTAATAGACAACTAGACTCAAAATAAATAGGGGAGTTCTAAAAATACAAGTTTGGCTCATCAAAACTATTACACTTTATTCCTAACAGAGGGGGACCTGAATACGAGGTTCCTTCACAACTCTGTTAAAACTAGGAGACGGCAGAATCGAATAACGAAATGGAGAAGGACTGATGGTACGTGGACAGAGGGGGCAGATGAAATTGGAGGACTGATCGTGGAGTATTACCAGGACCTATTCTCGGCGCAGCCAGGTGATGAAAGGGAGGTTATTGCATGCGTGGGATCCCATGTGACTCCAGCTGATAATATGGAATTGGAACGGGCAGTTAGTATGGAGGAAGTACGCCGAGCAGTGCTTGTCATGCATCCGGATAAGTTACCGAGTCCGGATGGTTTTGGGCCAGGATTCTACCAGCATTTTTGGCCTATGATTGGGGTGGGGGTGGGGGGGGGGGTTACATTATTTTGCAGGCAGTTTTTCGAGACAGCAACATTGCCGACTAATGCAAATGATACGTTAGTAGTTCTAATTCCGAAAAAACCAGCACCTGAATCAATGAAGGATTTACGGCCAATTGCACTATGTAACATCCTTTACAAGATAGCTGCAAAGGTCTGCGTGAATAGATTAAAACCTCTACTTGATAAACCAATATCTAAAGTGTAGAGTGCTTTCGTACCTGGCCGACTCATAACGGACAACATAATGCTAGCGTATGAAGTGCACCATTACTTAAAACGAAAGACGCAAGGGAAGAATGGGGTGGCCGCCTTAAAACTTGATATGAGTAAGGCCTACGACATGGTGGAGTGGCGGTTCCTGAGGCCAGTTATGCTAAAGATGGGTTTCAATCAGAAATGGGTAACTATTTTGTTGGAGACCGTAAGCTGCGTGAAATACCATATTCTACATGAACAACGTTGGTTGGGGCCAATCGTGCCAGGCTGGGGACTAAGGCAAGGCGAACCGCTCTTGCCATATTTGTTCCTCATGGTTGCGGAAGGGTTAAGTGCATTGATTGAGAACCAGATGAGTCGGGGGCTGCTGCATGGGGTTTGTGTTGCGATGGGGGCGCCCCCAATTTCGCATCTCTTATTTGTAGATGACTGCTTCATTTTCTTGCGCGCAAATTTTGAAGAAAGTTACCAAATGAAGAGGTAATGAATGTGTATGCACATGCCACTGGTCAGCTTATTAATTATGACAAGTCTGTGTTATGCTTTAGTTCTAATGTTGATGAGCCGGGCAGGAACAATGTGGTTAATATTCTGGGGGTCTCGTCGGGTGACACAAGGGGGAGGTATCTCGGGCTTCCCTCATTGGTTGGCCGCAACAAAAAAGCAATTCTGGGGTTTTTGAAAGAGTGGATACTCAAGCGAGTGAGAAGCTGGAATTCCAGGTTTCTATCACGTGCCGGGCGTGAGGTGTTGCTAAAAAATGTGCTGCAAGCGTTACCATGTTACTCAATGATGGTCTTTGCGCCACCCGTTAGTCTTTGTAAGGAAATTGAAGTAATTCTCAACCAATATTGGTGGTCCGGTTCAGTAAGTGACAGTAGGGGACTGCGGTGGAAATCTTGGCAGGCCATGAGTATACCGAAGGCTAAGGGAGAGGTCTTGGATTCAGAAGGTTAAGGGAGATGAACCTTGCTCTCTTGCGTAAGTAGGCTTGGCGCTTAATTACTCGTCCGGACTCGTGGGTCGCGCGTGTGTAAAAAAGTAGGTACTATCATCACACTACCTTTTTTTTTTTTTTTTTTTTTTTTTTTTATGCAGAACTAGGATGTAACCCATCATATATATGGCGGGGGATTTTGGAGGCAAAAAATGTTGTGCGCGCTGGGCGCGGCGGAGCATAGGGAATGGCCGTACCACTAAAATAGGGAGTGATCCTTGACTGATGACTACTCAGGACCCTTTTGTACGAACAGCTTTGGATCAATCAATCAGAGACGCGCCAGTCAGCTCTTTGATGAATGTAGGGGCACCAGGCTGGGATGTTAACTGCGTAAGGAACGTGTTCAATGAACGGGATGTTGCCTACATATTAAAAATTCCAGTAAGTGTTCACCAACCTGATGATGCATGGGTGTGGAGTGGGGAACCAAAGGGCAATTACATTGTAAAATCGTGTTACCAGAAGTTAGTAGGGGAGTTGGTTATTGATAAGCCGTACTGGCATGTCATTTGGAAATTGCAGGTTCCGCCTAAAGTTCGTATGTTTACTTGGCAACTTGCATCGGCCATACTGCCAACACGAGATATGTTGCTGAATAAACGTGTTGCATGTCTTCTTATGTGCCATATGTGTGGAGCGAAAGAAGAGTCGACTACACACCTCTTTCGCGACTGCGTGCATGCCTCTGCGATTTGGTCATCTATCCAGCTGTAGCCTATAGTGTATGACCAAGGTAATTTCATTGAATGGTTCTTTGAGCATCTTTCAAAGCCCAAATCTGACGTGTAATGTAAATTTGAGATGCTATGTTGGGGGTTGTGGCAAAGCAGTAATGACAAAGTGTGGAGGGGTGTGTCATTCGTTAGGGATATGGTGGCACATAAAACCATATCTTACTGGGAAAATTGGAAGGGGGTCAGCACAACTCAAATGGGACATGCTGGATCGGCGCCGGTAGTTCCGATTCTTGCTGATGATTCTATGAATTAAATTCTTTCTTCCAAAAAAAATAATAATTATATTTTCATGTGTAATTTAGATTAAATTAATTTAATTCTTATTCCTTAACAACTTTTTGGGAGAAGAGGAGAAGAAATATTACAAATAATTATATTGGAATGGAGTCATGGAGACATGGACTATGTCCAAAGACCCTAGACGTTAAAAGGAGGCAAGTTTATAAAGCTTGTTTGTTTGAACTTTTTGGAAAAGTGATTTTTTGACTGTTGTGTTTTGTTTTTAAAATAAGTTGGATTAATGGATAAGCATTTTACTTAAATTTGTTTCCAAGGACATGATAAGGGTTTGATTCTTGCCACAAATACGGGGGCTTGTTTCAAGTGGTAGGGTTTGTAGGGTAGGAATTTGATTTTTATACAAATATTGAGATATGAGTTTGAGTCTACGCGCAGAAGTGTATAGTTTGATGTTAAATCTAATATCTAAATTAGCTCAATTTACGCCTTATTAAGCATAGGGACAACTTTATGGTTCATAATATAGTACTTAGACTATCTTTATCCTTACAATATTCTTTCACTTTCAAAAGTGAGTCTTTAATTTGTTTTATATCATCAAATTTGCAATTCCTTTACTATTTTTTATACATCAATGCAATCCTCTTTCCCTCTAAAAAGTGGTTTCACTTTCACAATTTCACATCACATTATACTAATATAATAATAACAAAATGTAAAAACTTTCAAAGTCACCTGAATTTTAAAACAATGTTAAAAAAAAAAAATCCAAATCAACTTGCAAGTGCCCAAAATTTTTGGGATAAAGTCAGTTTAGTTATCCAAAAAAATCACACAGCAATCGACCATACATCCTCGTACACATGCATAGGTACGGTTTTTCTTCAATAATATTTCCATTCCGACAATATAATGCCGGCATATATGGACACGTAACGTCTTAAAAAATATCATTGTATGCCCAGTTGTCACAACGCCATCTGTTGCCTCCCCCTTGGGGCGCTGTTGAAATGGAATTCACTTTCTGGTCTGGTTTGCAGATATTTCCACCTACGGCACCACAACAACTAACAACATAACGTCCATTCTTTCAAGATTCCCCACCAAACTGACGGTCGGAATTTATGACATTTCCGCCCACGTGTACCCCTTTCAGCCCACGTGTATCGCCAAGCCGCCATCTTTGATTAATAATACCACATACATTAATTTTCTGTCAATAATTAAGGTTTGGTTCCTTAGCTTCCATCCATCACTATTATATTATAATAAAATCCCATCACCCCCGCTGCATATATATATATATATATATATATATATATATATATATATATATATATATATATATATATATATATATGTGTGTGTGTGTGTGTGTGTGTGTGTGTGTGTGTGTGTGTGTGTGTTCCATACAGTACAGTGAAGTACGCAATCAAGTTTCATGTAATCTTGCGGCGTTTGGTCGTCGGAGCTGAGTTTCGCCAGAGATTGAAAGGTTATATTGCGTTGATAGTTCCGGTGGCAAGCAGCAAAGCAAGCAATAATAATAATGGCAAAGATGATGATGATAAAATACAGAGGGGTGGAGGAGGTGGCGCCGGCGCCGGTGGTTTTCCCGAGAAAGCCGTCGCGTTCTCATTGTCCTAAGCTGGAGACCATCAAGGAGGAAGATAGTATTAATGGAGCCCAGCTGCAAGATAAGCTGCGCTGCACCACCATCCTTCCTCTCATCGTCATAATATCGGTTTCATTAGCTATGATAGGGGACCGGATTCGACAATATCCAGGTTAATTAATTTATGAATTATTGGAATAAGGGTGCTTACTTCGTAGCTAGCTAGCTACTTCGTTAGTTACTATGTAAAACTTGTAATGTTGTGTATTCACCTTCTTTGTTTGGACCTGTTAATTATAATAACCTAATCTGGTTTATGTGATATTTTGTCAGTTAGAGTTATATGACAAGTTTTATCCATAGTATATCTTTAGAGATTGTTAGACTTTAATTTTCTGTAAATCAAGCTGTAAAACTCTAATGTAAAATATATTTAAGGACAAATTTATGGAATCTATTATCTATTTTATTTCTCTTAAATATTGTTGAAGAGTCATACTTTGTGTGGGCAACAACGGAGCTAGTATAAGGACAGTGCCACCACTCCTTTATATATATATATATATATATATATATATATATATATATATATATATATATATATATATATATACTAGTTTTTTACGCGCATTGCGCGATTGAGATAATGCCCAATGTTATTTTTTTAAAATAAGTACTTTAAAGTATATCAAGACAAGATTATATTGGAATTTTTCATGCATAGGTAATTGAATGTTAAATTTGCGTATTTAAATAGGCAATTCTAAGATTACTAATGCAAGATAATATAGTCAAGATTGATTATAGTTGTCAATAAAATAATTGTATAGGTATGTTTGAAACCAAATACGGGACATAAAGGAGAGAAAATAAAAATTATGGATAAAATATTAAATATATACTAATTTTGAAGAGCTAATTGCTGATTGCCAAACAAGGACATTGCGAGATAGTTTCCCACTTCAATTTGTTGTGTGATTTGAATACTCTTGTTGTCAATAAATTCCCCAAGTAGTTAATATGATTGACTTAATTATATTTTTTTTATTTATTTTTTATTTTTTAAAATTATTATTATTATTATTATTATTATTATTATTATTATTATTATTATTATTATTATTATTATTATTATTATTATTATTATATGTATACCCTTAGCTCAGTTTACATGTTAATCTAAACAACTAATTTTTTCAAATATATTTTTACCAACCATTGATATAATTCGCTGGTCAAATTCGCTAATATAATCCGCTAACGCTAACCGCTAACTGCTGATTGTCAAACAAGGACATTGTGAGGTAGTTCTCATTTCAATTTGCTGTGTGATTTGAATACTCTCTTTGTCAATAAATCCCTCAAAGTAGTTAATAAGATTGGCTTATTAATTATATTTTTTTTAATTTTTTCATGGTATTAATAAAATACTTGGTAAATAAATATATAACATTATTTTGTATTATAACTTTGATCTTTAATTAAAAAATAGTGCACAAAAAAGATAATAGACAATGTAGTGAATATAATCAATTGATGATTTTGAATGTAAAGAATTTTTATATTGGAGAAATATAAAGACAATATAACTAATAAAATTATTTCTCTTAATTAATTTATTGATAATGAATTTTTTTTTTTTTAAATAAAGCATTGTAGGGACAATGTAGCGAATATAATCAATTGATGAATTTGAATGTAAAGAATTTTTATATTGGAGAAAAATAAATACAATATAACTAATGAAATTATTTCTGTTATTTAATTTATAGATAATGAATAATTTTTTTTTTGAATAAAGACATTGTAGACACATAATTCTAAATTAAAGAAAGCATATGTATTATTTTTTGTTGTAGCTACTAAATCATTACGGAGTATTTAATTTAATAAGAGTAAAATAGAGTACTAATTATGCCAACTGTGATTGGGATGAGGTTCGAACCTAAGACCTTTGTTATTGAAATCAATGAGTAAGTTAACGGTGAACTAACAAAAATTAACGGAAAAGATAATATTTAACGGAAAAGTTAACGGAAAATCATATTCATTAAGGATAAATTAGGAAATCTTAAGGAAAAATTAAAATATGATCAATCTGAGGCATTCATTTGATTAAAAAATTTAAAATCTGATCAATCTTATTAGTATAGTAGATATATATATATATATATATATATATATATATATATATATATATATATGCGTATATAGCATTATTTTTATACTTAATATTTAATTATTAATATTTTAAGTAGCTTAATTGGTTTAACTATAAATTTAAACTTTAAAATAAAACAAAGTATATGATCACTGGTTCAAATCTCATTAACAACACTTTTCTTATCTTCACTTATTTATTATCTCTTTCATTCTTTGCCAAGATAAATTAAATATTTTTTAGTCTACTTTTATGAATAATTTAATTAACAAATTAAATGCTCTTTTTAGTTTACTATTTATGAATCATTTAATTAATGAATATATAAAGAGCTTTCTTTAATTAATGTAGTATACAAGTTTATATTATACTTCATTGTATTCAAATTAATTTAGAAAAACTTAAAGTTGATCTAACTAAAAAAAAATTAAAAAGTATTTATGAATATAGTGTTATTCAAATTAGTAGTATAGCACCCGTGCGATGCACAGATAATAACATATATTCAATAAACATACGATTTATTAAATTTAGATAATGTAAAAAATAAATAAATATTCAAAATATTATATAATATTCAAACCATATCTTATTATAATAAAGTATGTATAGTACCTAATATCAAATTTCGCTTTCTAATGACTTAGTGTTGGACTAAAAAAAAAAAAGACCATATACACATTACACATCACTTGTCAAACTACAAAAATACCATGGCCATACAAAGAGAACTATACCAAAACCAAAAAAAAAAAAAAAAAAAAAAAACAAAACAAAACAACAAAACACACACACACAAGACTAAACCTAATTTGTGGGTATTTATAAGAAAGCTAAGGGACATCTAAAAGTTAGAGTGCAAAGTGACTTTGCTAGACACAAATTTTGAATTTGAAAATTTTAATTAAATGTAGTCAGCACAACAAATAATGTATTTGGCTACCCAAAAATATTAGAATTTGCATAAACTACTACACTAAATATAATGTAATATTAGTAAGTGCATGCTATGTGTATTGTTTAAGGTTTCCAAAATAATATATTTTTTTAGTAAATGCAGGTCATGCGTGTTGCTCCCATGGTGGACCAGGGTCACCTTCCATAGTGGATCCTGGTCCAAAATGTCATCGTTTTATATCAAATGTCAATTAGTACATCATATTTAATAATATTATTATAGACTATGTTCATAATATTTGTTCTATATGTCCATAAACCAAACCTTTAGTTTCCATAAACTCAAAACTAAATATACATTATACATATGCATTTTCATTCATCTATAGTAGGTTCATAATATTCATTGTATATATTCATAAAAATAAAGCTTAATGTACAAAGACAGTATACTATGAACGCTTCATGTTTAATAATATTCATTGTGTGTTATACTCATCATAATATTTGTTCTATATGTCCACAAACATAAACATTAATGTTCATAAATACTAAACTAAATATACATCATATGCATTTACATTCACTCTATAGTAGGTTCATAATGTTCACCAAAACAAAGTTTAATGTATATAAATATTATTATAATACGTATTCTATATGTACCTATAGAAATCCTCACTAGATGCTGACTGGGCAGTGCGCACCATCTTTAACAATCTGGTTTGCCACTCAATTAAAAAAAAAAAAGAAAAAAGAAAAGAAACAGTGATACCCAGACCTCCACCTGTGGGGTTCATTCTCTCACCATCAATCCCCTTTTTTGCACTCTCTCGAACCCTCTTGGCAGCTCTATTTTCTTATGTTCTTTGGTAATGGCAGAGCCTCAATGGGGGCAGTGTGGGCAGCTGCCCCCCCCCCTCCCCCTACCCATTTCTATTTATATATATGTACATGTATTAATCAATAAGAAACTCTGTTGCTCAGTTCGTAGAGCTTTAAATTTGACATAAAATGTCATAGGTTTAAATCCCTCGTATTGTACCTTTATATATTTTAGCTCTTCTCACCCCTCAATAAATTAAATGTATCTTTTTAATTCTATTTTTTTTTTTTTTTGTGAATCATTTAGTTAATGTAATCAACAAGTTTATATTATACTTCATCGTATTCAAATTAATTTAGAAAAACTTTATAGTTCATCTTTTTTTTTTTTGAAAGCCAATTTATAGTTGATCTAATTAAAAGAAAATTTAAATTAAACCGAGCTCTATCAAAAGATTTTACTTTTAATTCCATTTGGGTCTTGATCCAAGAAACCTTGGCATGGAGAGGAATAGATTTGGTGTTGAAAATGGCCTCATTACCCCATTTCCAAATCCACCATAATGTGATCGCAAATAACGCCTTATAATCACATGGGTAGCGGCTCTGATTTCTGCTTTTGAGGCCATGGTCAAGCCAGTCGGTGAATGACAAGTTCCGAAGCTGGTAACGAGTCCTAGGGAGTATTGAGCTCCAAACTGCATCGGCTACTGGACATTTTCTCAGAACATGTTCTGTATCTTCTACGACTTCTTGGCATAGCTAACATCTATTGCTACTGGACAACCCACATCTAAATCTCAACGAATTTGTCACGAGTTTGTTGTGTCTAGCGAGCCAGAAAAAGAAGCGAACTCGATTCGATACTTTCAACTTCCAAATACTGTTCCACTTCGCTGCGTCCACAGAGTTAAAAGAGCAAGATGCTAAGTCGTAGGCCGAACTAACCGAGAAGATGCCGGAGGGTTCGCTCTTCCACCCGAACGAATCATCTTCTTCCGAATTGCTACACACCATAACAGCAGCTAACTTTTCTAGGAAGATGCTGGGCAGAACCTGATCCAATTCCTCCCATTTCCAACCAAACGTTTCATCCCAATAGCTTGCCACATTCTTGTACAGCTCAGGCAGGGGAGAGGGTCGGAAATTACTTCTTTAAGGAGAAAATCTGCCAGCCAAGTATCTAACAAAAAAAGGGTATCTTTCCCATTCCTGACAATCCTCTTAATGCCTTTGCGAAGGATGTATCTTGATCTGAGGATGCCTTTCCAGAGTGGTGACATATTCTTCTTAGGCTGCCAAGTGTCAAAATCATCAGAAGAAATAGAATATTTGGCCTTGAGCAAGCGAATCCATAAGCAATTTTCATTTTGCAGGATTCTCCAGCCGAGTTTGGCCATAAAAGCATGATTCATTTGCTCAAGTTTCTTCAGTCCAAGACCTTCATTATCTTTGCTTAATGTCACAGTATCCCAGTTCACAAGCTGGACCTTCTTCGTCCCAGTAGAGCTACCCCATAAAAAGCTCCTTATTAAGCGATCCAAAGTTTTCAAGACTCCTACAGGCAAGATAATGGATTGCATCGAGTAGTAAGGAATAGCCGAGAGTACGGACTGAGCCAAAGCATGTCTACCCGCGAGTGAGAGTGTTTTTCCTTTCCACCCTGCTAGTTTGGATTAAACTCTCTCAATAATCCCCGCAAAAGAATCGTTCTTTAGCCTCCCATGTATAGAGGGAACACCAAGGTATCTACCCATGTCTTCCACTCTTGGTATTCCAAAGTTGCATGAAATAGATGCTTGAAGGTCCTGTGAAATATTTCATGAGAAGAACACTGAGGATTTCTGATGATTGATTCTCTGGCCCGAGCTATTGCAGAAGGATTCCAGACATCTTTTCATCACGGTGGCCTGTTCCAATGATGCTTCGCCAAACAAGATCAAATCGTCTGCAAAGAAGAGATGAGTAATGTTAGGGGAGTCAACCGATGTCTTAAAGCCTTTCCATTTTCCAAGATTTACAGCATGGTTAATTATATGACTGAGTCTTTCAATGCAAAGTACAAATAGTAGGGGCGAGATTGGATCTCCCCGTCTAATTCCTCGGCTCGGATGAAACCAGTCAAAGAGCTCTCCATTCCATTTGATTGCCATCCGGGGAGTCGTTACACAAGCTAGAATGCTGCGCATCCACTGTTGATTGAAGCGGATGGTTTGCAAAGTGTCTTCAATAAAGCTCCACGATAACCTGTCATAAGCTTTTTCTAAATCAACCTTGAGAATCTTCCATCCTGTAGCACCTTTTTTTATGATGCATAGAGTTAAGAACTTCCTGAAAAACAAGGATGTTATCAACTATTTGACGATCCGGGACAAAACTAGACTGATGGGGGCCAACGAGAATTTTAGAGATGCTCTTGAGACGATTGGTCATGGTTTTTGTCAACAGTTTGTAAACAACATTGCATAATCCTATAGGTCGGAACTGCTTGACAGAACCTGGAGATGCCACTTTTGGAATAAGGGAGATAATAGTATCATTGCACCCCTCAGGTAAGATGCCATCTGCAAAAAAGGCTAAAGCGAAGTCAGTCATAGAGGCTCCTATTACTTCCCATGAGCATTGGTAAAAGCTTGCATTGAAGCCATCCAGGCCGGGGGCTTTGGAGGGAGCCATGTCAAACATGGCTTGCTTGATCTCTTCCTTTGTAAATGGCTTATTGACTTCAACCCAAATTCCAGGGCCAGAGATGGAAAACCATTAGTTGGAGATGCCTGTGGGGACAAGGAATTATTATCTGCTGTGAATAATTGAATGAAAAAATTCTTCACATGGTTCTCAATACTGGTAGCATCTGTTAACAAGGAGCCATCAGCATCCTTGAGTACACAAGTTCTGATAGAGCTATTCTTGATAGCAGTCGCCAAGTGGTAGAAGTGAGAATTACAATCGCCCGAAGCAATCCAATCCTCTCTAGATCGTTGAAACCAAAAGAGCTCCTCTTGATAAAGCACTTCTTCCAGATCCTATCGTAACTTCTTTTCCAATTTCAAAAGATCCGATCTAATCTGGAATGTAAGACTTCTTTGAACACCACTCAGTCTGGCAAGAATCTTCTTTTTCCGGTAGAAGATATTGCCAAAAACGTTTTTATTCCAGCGGGTTAGAGCTTCAGCAACATTCCTCAAGTTCAAAGCCAAGTGTATGTCCTTGTCCCAAGATTGTCTTACTACATCTTGGAAATTAGGGTGGGTGCCCCAGGCCATAATAAATCTAAAAGGCTTCTGCCTTCTTACAGAAGTTGATGGACACATATTAATGAGCAGAGGTGAATGATCAGATTCTACAATAGGGAGGTGTTCAACCAAAGCTGATGGGAATTTTAACTTCCAAGTGGTGTTGGCCAGAGCTCTATCCCGCCTCGCACCTTTGAATGTCGAGGAGCTAGAGCCCCTCATCCAAGTAAACTTCGAACCTGCAAAACCAAGATCAACTAGACCTTCCCGGAATATCCAGTCATTAAAGTCAGAACTTCTAGATATGGAGAAGTTATCCTGGTTGTTGACTTCCTCCTGGCAGGTTACTGAGTTAAAATCACCAGCAATGAGCCAAGGAAGAAGGACATCCATGTCTTGCCCAGAGAGATCTGCAAATAAGTTCCTTCTCAAATACTGATTGGGGCTCCCATACACCACGGTAAACAGCCATGGTTCAGATAGATTATCAATTACCTGCATAGAAATGAATTGAGGATGAGTGGTGATGATTTCAACCTTAATGACATCCTTCCAGAACACCCAAATACCCCCGGAGAAACCATAGGCCTCAACTCTTATCCAATCCCTAAAGCCTAAACTATTACATATTCTATTAGCATGGTCCCCCGATACTTTGGGTTCCAACAGACAAACAATAGATGGGTTATATACCCGAATGAATTGTTTAAGGGCGCGGCGAAATGACTTTGACGCCGCCCCTTGACAATTCCAGACCATAATAAACATAAACGCAGGGATGAGGGGAACAGAGTGCTTAAGAGCGCGGACTGCCCGCCCCAGCCGAGCCCAACAGGTTAGAAGATTCCATAACCAAATCCATTGGCATAACAGGTAAAGCTGATGTTAACGAAGGAACTTCCTTGTCAGGAGGTTCCGTGTGTGAGAAAGGTACTTCCTTGTCGGGAGGGATATTCTTGAAGGCGTTACCAATACCATCCATAACAGATGGCCCCGGTTGGTCGCTGGAATGTTGTACCACCATTGTTGAGATATTGAGTCCATTATCGGACCCTCGAACCACCGTATGTTCAGGTTGAGCTGCAGCGCGATTGGGACCCCACCCTCTTCCTCGACCTCTGAAAGAGCCCCGACCAGCAACCTGGGGTTGTCTCGGCACATCGAGATGGTCTCCACCAGAAACTCTAGCATCCCTCCTCTGACCACGCGGGGTCTGAGCAGATCTATAGTTCGTCCTAATTCTGGGAAGGGGCGCGCTTGGTTGCTGCAACTCTGCAAATCCTTCATGTGTTTCTTGAGCCATCCCTATCCCATCTTCATTCATCCCATCTAAGGTGGCAAATCGGGAATGGGTGTCAACTGCCCCAGGAGGTGATGCATTGTTCTGTGGAGATGGCGGCCGACTACCACTAGGATTGCCGGAAGCATTTCTAATTCCACCTTTGTTAAAGGCTCTTCTTTCTCTGCGCGCTACCAGCATCCACGCACCATATTTTTCCTTGGGCTTCTGAACAGTCTCCGTCTGCATAGCTTTTGTATGAATGGCACCCTCCCCAGTAGAAACACCAGCACTAGTCTCCTCTTTACCACATTGATCCATTCGAGGTCCATATAGACCACACTTGAAACAAACCAAATGAAATCCTTCATATTCAATTGGGCATTCCTCCTCATTCAGGACAAATTTAGCTGTCAACGGCTTAGAAATATCTACCTCAATGCATACTCTGGCAAAATTTGCCTTTGGATATGAGACTTGTTGTGGTGTCAATCTTTACAGGCCGGCCAATGCTTTTCCCTATTTTCTTGAGAAAATCCTCTTTGAAATATTCGACGGGTATAGCAGGGAAGCGAACCCAGACAAGGAACATTCATAATATTTTTCTTCGGGATGAAATTGGGTTTCCATTCTTGGACTACAATATAGTGTCCCATAATCACCCAAGGCCCTTCAAATTTCGCAACATCGTAATCTCTTTGGGATTCAAACCTGGCAATGAAGTAATCTTGGTCCAACGCAATGAGATCGAAGTGAGACTTCGACCTCCACATCCTCTGCAACCTCTGAAGTAGAAAAAGAGTAGTTCACCGTCCGGCCCAGCACCTTGAGAATGAGGGAACGGCGCCAGGGCCGTCTCAGTCTCTCCTTCTCTTCCTTAGTAATGAGAATAACTGGATAGTCAAAATTAGAACATCGGCAACCAATTCGTCATCATCAGAGACCACGACTTCCTTCGGGGGAAAGTTCTCCGGCTTTCTTGACCAAGCTTGGCTAGGCGTTGCCACAGGAGTTGTCCACTGGTTGGAATCTGGTGTTGAGGCACCAGCTGCCATAGGCGAATCACATATTTCTTTTGAACGCAGGCCTATCTGAGAGGAGTCCATCTGGTCCCTGCCCCTTTTCGTCTTCTTTGTGCTACGCTGAAGTAAATCTTGTTCCTCTGGCGACCGGTGGGTCGCCGTAGGTGACTGAATCTTGGAGAACGAAGCGTCGGTCATAACGACTACAAAAAAATTCCATAGTATATCTTTAAGTAGAGACTGCTAGACTTTAATTTTCTGTAAATCAAGCTGTAAAACTCTAATGTAAAATATATTTAAGGACAAATTTATGGAATCTATTATCTATTTTATTTCTCTTAAATATTGTTGAAGAGTCATACTTTGTGTGGGCAACAACGGAGCTAGTGGTTTAACTATAAATTTAAACTTTAAAATGAAACAAAGTATATGATCACTGGTTCAAATCTCATTAACAACACTTTTCTTATCTTCACTTATTTATTATCTCTTTCATTCTTTGTCAAGATAAATTAAATATTTTTTAGTCTACTTTTATGAATAATTTAATTAACAAATTAAATGCTCTTTTAAGTTTACTATTTATGAATCATTTAATTAATGAATATATAAAGAGCATTCTTTAATTAATGTAGTATACAAGTTTATATTATACTTCATTGTATTCAAATTAATTTAGAAAAACTTAAAGTTGATCTAACTAAAAAAAAATTACAAAGTATTTATGAATATAGTGTTATTCAAATTAGTAGTATAGCACCCGTGCGATGCACAGATAATAACATATATTCAATAAACATACTATTTATTAAATTTAGATAATGTAAAAAATAAATAAATATTCAAAATATTATATAATATTAAAACCATATCTTATTATAATAAAGTATGTATAGTACCTAATATCAAATTTCGCTTTCTAATGACTTAGTGTTTATGTATAGTACCTAATATCAAATTTCGCTTTCTAATGACTTAGTGTTGGACTAAAAAAAAAAAAAGACCATATACACATTACACATCACTTGTCAAACTACTAAAATACCATGGCCATACAAAGAGAACTATACCAAAACCAAAAAAAAAACAAAACAAAACAAAACAAAACAAAACAAAACAAAAAAAAAACAAAAAACAAAAAACAAAACAAAAAACAAAACAAAATACACACACACACACACACACAAGACTAAACCTAATTTGTGCGTATTTATAAGAAAGCTAAGGCACATCTAAAAGTTAGAGTGCAAAGTGACTTTGCTAGACACAAATTTTGAATTTGAAAATTTTAATTAAATGTAGTCAGCACAACAAATAATGTATTTGGCTACCCAAAAGTATTAGAATTTGCATAAACTACTACACTAAATATAATGTAATATTAGTAAGTGCATGCTATGTGTATTGTTTAAGGTTTCCAAAATAATATATTTTTTTAGTAAATGCAGGTCATGCGTGTTGCTCCCATGGTGGACCAGGGTCACCTTCCATAGTGGATCCTGGTCCAAAATGTCATCGTTTTATATCAAATGTCAATTAGTACATCATATTTAATAATATTATCATAGACTATGTTCATAATATTTGTTCTATATGTCCATAAACCAAACCTTTAGTTTCCATAAACTCAAAACTAAATATACATTATACATATGCATTTTCATTCATCTATAGTAGGTTCATAATATTCATTGTATATATTCATAAAAATAAAGCTTAATGTACAAAGACAGTATACTATGAACGCTTCATGTTTAATAATATTCATTGTGTGTTATACTCATCATATATTTGTTCTATATGTCCACAAACATAAACATTAATGTTCATAAATACTAAACTAAATATACATCATATGTATTTACATTCACTCTATAGTAGGTTCATAATGTTCACCAAAACAAAGTTTAATGTATATAAATATTATTATAGACGCATCATGTTTAATAACATTCATCTCGTACGATGTTCATAATATTTAGAAAAAAATCAATTTTGGTCCCTTGACTATTATACATGTATAATAGTCAGTGGACTAAAAGTGAAATTTATTCTAATACGTATTCTATATGTACCTATAGAAATCCTCACTAGATGCTGACTGGGCAGTGCGCACCATCTTTAACAATCTGATTTGCCACTCAATTAAAAAAAAAAAAAAAAAAAAAGAAGAAGAAACAGTGATACCCAGACCTCCAGTTGTGGGGTTCAATTTCTCACCATCAATCCCCTTTTTTGCACTCTCTCGAACCCTCTTGGCAGCTCTATTTTCTTATGTTCTTTGGCAATGGCAGAGCCACAATTGGGGCAGTGTGGGCAGCTGCCCCCCCCCCCCCCCACCCCCTCCCCCTACCCATTTCTATTAATATATATGTACATGTATTAATCATTAAGAAACTATGTTGCTCAGTTGGTAGAGCTTTAAATTTGACATGAAATGTCATAGGTTTAAATCCCTCCTATTGTACCTTTATATATTTTAACTCTTCTCACCCTTCAATAAATTAAATGTATCTTTTTAATTTTTTTTTTTTTTTTTTTTTTTTTTTTTTTGTGAATCATTTAGTTAATGTAGTCAACAAGTTTATATTATACTTCATCGTATTCAAATTAATTTAGAAAAACTTTATAATTCATCTTTTTTTTTTTTTTGAAAGCCAATTTATAGTTGATCTAATTAAAAGAAAATTTAAATTAATGTATTTATGAATATAATGTCTTTTATGTTCAATAGATATTTTTATAACATTTCAAAGTGTTTTAAAATTTCTCCCTACCCAAGTATAGTTTTGGATCCGCCCTTAACTATCTTATAGTCTATCATAAATATTGTGTTATAATTTATAATGTGTTTGAACCATATTATGTGTTTGATATTTTGTTATTGACAATTGAGAAAAGGGTCAAATAGGCCCCTAAACTTTACCCGAAAGGTCAATTAGGCCCCTAAACTTTAAAAAATTTCAATTAAACACTCAAACATGTCAGATTGGGTCAATGAAGCTCAAAAACCGGTAAATGACTTGTTATTACATCTCATTTCAATTTCGGCGACGGATTCCGGCGACCGGTGACGAATTCCGGCCACTGGCGATAATTTCCGACTGTCCGATCGTCTTCCACTAGAGAAGACGAGCGGACAGCCGCCTTCTCCACTGCCGCCTTCTCCATTGGAGAAGACGACCAGATCTGGATCGTCTTCTCCAATGGTGAAGACGGCCGTCGGCCATTGATGTATGTGGGTGGTTCTGTTGTGATTCTACTTTTGTTTTTCATTTTTAGCCGTTTTCTTTCTTCGAAATTTTGCTGGATGATATCAGGGTGATGCTTTTATTCATTTACTTAGCATTTTAGCAACTCCCCGTGGTTTAAGTATGAGCTGCAAAGAAGTAGTTTTGCTTTTCCAAATGTTAAAGGGTCAGTCTTTGCTTCTGGTGGCTGTTAGATGAATGCTGATGTGAAAACTTTAGTTTCTTTTTCATAACC